AATGTCGACGAAATGGTAAACTACTAACGTCTACATCAATTATGTAAAAAAAGTTACTTCGTGCCTTTTCATTACACGCGGGAATATGGAATATAGAATCAAGGTAAATACCTTACAAAAACCTCTGAAAATGGTGTAGAATAGTTTTAGAAAGAAAAACGTTGAACTTAGATATTTACTCACTAATTACTCAGTAGGTATTAAAATACCCTTCTGAAATTGTTTTGGTCAATTGAAGGGATAATGGCAAGTCGTAAGAGCACAAGTTTTAATATTCTTTTTTTTTTCAATTCAAAAGTGATCTAGAGTTGTAATGTGTTTATAAAAGTTTAGATCCGATACAACAATTTAACTGATTTTTTTGCCCAACAGAAGGGGAACCGGCTCGGGACGACATAAAGGATTTAATAAGATGGATTTAGTTCACAGTATTAGCCGATTTGTGCCGAACAACAGACACGTTGATATATTTTTAAGGATACATTTATGCTAAGGCGACACTCATCAGAACGGCTGTACACAGCGAACTTCAATGGTGTAGAATATTCAATTTCAGAGGAGGCTTGGTGGTACGCAGAAATGCCAAATTTCAAGCATCCACTTTTTTACACCAAGTGGCAATGTGTGCCAGAAACAGAATTTCAAGCGATTTCGGCCGTTCTTCCACGAAAATAGCGAAGTCAGAACCAACAAATTTTAACATCAATGACCAGAAATCGGGTTTTTCTAATCACGACTGTGTGGAAGGGACACGGAGAAGAAAGTGGACAACATACGGCCGACAACCATGACGCGGGTGGAGTCAGGTCCAGCTCACTCGAAATTCGAGGCGAGTTGGCATTCTTCTTTGAGCTATCGGATGCTTGGAGGGACGACTCCTGAGATTTTGTTGCTGAGATACAAATAAAATGTTGGTGCGGTTAAATTAACCTCGAATCAAGGCATCAGGGAGTTGTGATAATGATCAATAATTAGTTTAATTAACAGATAGTGAGTTATCATATGTGAATTTCAGACTAATCACTGATAATAAAACATATTCTTTTAAGAACATTAACATTTTTTTGCTTCTACAATACTCCTCCAACTCCTACACATGTTTCGGCAGCACATTACTTTATTGGTCACATTTAACCAGAAGACACAAATTCAACCTCAAAACACATACACTTGATGAACACTTCTGACATTTTAAAACAATGAAAACATGCCCTTAACCAAATATCAAGAAGCTATGCCAGTCTTTCTAGGTAATAAGCCGCAAATGCTAGCATTGAGAATGAAAGTGATCTTGAAAAACATCGGTATTTATTCAACAAAATAAGTGAAAAAAAAAACACCAAAAGTACCCTAAAGTGCCTCCGAGAAAGCATTCAAGTTTCCTTGCTTGCCTGCTTATACAGACCAGAGCAGTAAAAACAACAAAGCAACTTATCAAAACGTCTAGTCCTGCAAACTGAATTTTGATCATCTCAAATGTCAGAAATAAAAAGAAAACAACGCAATATTGCTGAGTTTCACTGGATTACCTTCTTCAATTAGACAGTAATTCAATCCACAAATAACCTACATGGATTACGAACATGCAAACCATCGGGCGATTGGCGCCTTTTGGGAGGATTGTAACAGTCGAGAGTTCGAAGTTTCGAAGAAGCTGCGGACTTTAATGTCCGTGGGCAATAAGCTTTTGCCTCAGTAAAGCTACTTCGATGAAGCTCCAAAACATCGGCCGGTGGGTCGCGAAGAGGCAGCTAAATAAGCATAAGATGCACTAGCTTTCAAATGGTACTATATTACTTGTGATGGGTAACTACTAAGACAAAGCAAATAGGTCACATTTGGTCACGCATTGTGAGGGTTCCACTGCGTGAGTTATTTTACTAGACGCAGTGTAATCACCGGCATACACACAAGATTGGGATGAATAACATGAAAGAGTGAGCCAGTGAGTTAAGTCCAGTCTTATACTGAGGGGAGTGTACATACTAAAATATTTAAAACTATTCAAATCAGGGCCAAACGTTTGTTCCCAAATAATCTAGTAATCGTTCAACTGTAAAAAAGCACCTTATTTTAATCTTGTCCAGAAAAAGAAAAGGTCATGAAGAACCTAAATGGCCAATTCAGTGACCACGGAATTTTTACAAAGCTGCAAATATAGAATAATTTCTAAGGTGAAATAAAAAACGGAAGCAGGATGTCCAATTGTATGGGCATTAATGGTGTCAATAGAGTTTCACAAAACGATAAATGAAAAAAAATTATACAAGGAACGACGGATTTCTTAGTAGTTAATAACTAAGTACATGCAGAATTCATGATACGAAACCCTTGAATGTGGGTCAAGAGACACGATTTGAAAAAATAGTAGGCAAAATCTGATAATATCCAAAATTACATGTTAGGATATTTTATCTGATCATCAAGACTGTGAAAGAAAAAAACGCACCCGAGACTTATAAAGCGAGTTCAAGCTTGAAGAACGAGCAGACGAAGTTTGCAAATGGTTGGAATTTTTCCTGACGTTTTGTTGTGAATACAAAAGCGAAAAGTCACGTCTCTTATAGCTTTTAAGCAGACCTGCTACAATCTCGTCAACCGCTGGATCCTCAAAGTGAAATGTAGACTTGTTAAAAAATTATCACGACAGTAAAAACATCATACCGGTGTTGGTCGCTGCGGATTCTCATTTCTAGGATCCACAGCACCTGGCCTTAAGTACCTTTTGCGAAGCCTCTGGCCTTTGGCTAAGTTTATTGAATTAATTACATTTGTCATTACATATATTAAGGTATTGAAATAACTAACCTTTCGGGTTCGTAAACAGAGAATGCGGTGTCTTATTATCAATGCAAGCTTCATCTAGTCAAGATGAAAGTAAATAAAGCATACATTTAGCTAAATGCAGTTTGCGGTAGTGTGCTTCTACTTGTTGGCTTACAAAAAGGTGTGTTGAAGTAGAACACGGAAACATAAATATATAAGAAACGGCTTGACCAATAAGAAAGCAAAGTGGGAGCACGCAAAAAAAGACCTTGAAAACAAGTAACAGTAGTTCACTAAAAAACAACAGTTCGCTAAAGTGTAGGGCACATGGAATGAAAAAACGATTGCTTTAAGAACTGAACAGATTTTCCTGTGACAAAAGATACTCTAACCCTTTTTATAGTCAATAACACTACGATTATCTTCTTCAATTTTAAATTTTGAATAATTTCAATTTGCACAATGCGTTCACCTATTAATTGACTCGTGCATCATGCAGTGAGCCTTGCTGATAAATTTACCCGTTTGTAGATAGCCATCTTCACAAATGCAGCGTGCCTGAAACTGTTGCTTGCACTACTTTTCAGTAAACATGCAAAAAATTCCGTATCCTTTCAATCATCACTTACGCTAACAGTGACTTGAAAGCGTCTATCATATTTTGGAATCGGTGTCATATGTATCTTTTACTCATGCAATACACTTCGATTTTTAAACCATTATAGGGCCCTTAAAATGAGACTATGGGTAAAGATATAGTCAGAAAATATGTTTAGTTCTGATCAAGTTATATTTGCCGGTCTCATGTGAAAAAGTAACCATTTACCTGCCTGCATTTTTCACCATAACAGTTTTTAAGAAGTTTTTCTTTGTAATCTCATCATTAATATTAGTATTTTAAGCTTTATTTACAATCTTAGAAATTATATTTCATACAAGTAGATAATGAGAATGTTTCGACGCGGCATTTTCGATTTGGTCGTCTATTAGGTATTTTGTTTCCTTTCTGAATTTGTGTCTTTACTTCATGTTTTGCCAGTCAGTGTTTGTAATTTTAAACCATCTTAAGTTGACACGATGCCCTTTAAATGAACCATTACCTTACCTCCCAGGAGATTGGATTTTATCAATAATATCGTTAATTTATATGCCATCTGTTATTTCTAGTTCTTCAGGCTCCTTTGGGTTTTTAGTCTTAGTCGCCCTTCTGTCATCAAAACACACTATTAATTTTAGCATTTTTTTCTTGGGGCTGGCTAATCGTTACAAGGAATTCCTTTAATAAAAGCATTTTTGCGGTTGGCGATTTACTTGCCTTAGTGTTTGGAAGTGTAATTTCCTTGTAAAAACCTGTGTATATGTGATTTTTCTGTAGGTTACAAAAAAGTGCAGAGTGTACTGAGTGGAATATGTGGTATTTTGTCGATTTTCTACGTCATTCGGAACATTTCGAATTTAATAACTCTACAAAGAGTACTTCACAAGTAGTTCCAAGTTTTCATCTAGTCTTATTGTTATCAATCGCGCATAACCGTTAAATTAAAAAATGTTAGCTGGTCACCTCACAAGATGAACAGGGAATTACTTTAAAGCGGAATTTTTTGAAACATATAACTTTAAGATGCCCCAATCCAATCTGGGACCCGAGTGTTGTCTAAATCGTTCTCCGTTTCTGCCTATTAGTCACATTAAGAGATAGAAAGTTTGATGACATCGTAGTTTACCTGGACATCAGTTTTAATTATTTGAATGCTTCTTCAACGCGTTTAACCAATAATCGAGATTGTGAGTCTGTGTGAAATTCTCTCTTCTGGCTCTAATTTGCCTGGTTTTAATCCAATATTACTTAGTCCACTGTTGGAGCTCTTATTCATTCCCTTTCAGTTGCAATCGCTATCGTAACTCGTCATTTTGTTTAAATCTGGCCAGATTTATGCATGAAAGTTATTCTGGGTCACTACTTAAGCGTTGTTGTGTTATCAAAACGTTTACGTTATCTCTAAATTTATGTAGTAAATCATTTTAGTGTTTATCTGGGCTCCAGGGTAACACTAGTAAACTCGAATTAAGTTCTAAAGTTAAGTTGCAAATTTATTCACTGCTTTGATGTCCTTAATTAGTATATTAATACATTCTTATTTTTCTGTACAAAATCTGTATTGCGGATAGCGCTTTTCTATCAGAGTTATCGTGTCACAAGAGACCAGTCTAATAAACACAACTCTCTTGCAGATATGTATGCAGCACGCACAGCCAGGTCACGAAAAACACGGACTGAACTTGAAATTGAAAAGCATCGTGCGGAGGGCAACTTGAACAAGGCTCTTGAGCTTGCCTGTGCATTCAAAAACGAACGTAGTGGTTTGAATGCTTGCCTCTACAACCTGGTTTTCTGTGAGAATCGGCTGAAACTCTCGGAAAAAACATTTACCTACGCTATCGACTTTAAGGAAGTTGAAACAGCTGTAGAAGTTGCTCTTCGAAACGCGGACGATCAATACAGATATGAAGCGACCATTCTAAAGGCCAAAATTGCCTTTATTCAAGAACAATATGCGAAGGTTGTAGAACTACTTACCACTGGTGGTATAGATCTTAGTAAAGTGCGAGTTGAGACTTATGCCTCGCGGTTCGCGTGCCTCCTATCCGAAGGTTTTGCTATGTTAGGTGTGTTACCTGTTCTTTTAAACGTTAAAATAACTTTAAATAGCTCTTGCACTTTCTAGTACCACAACGTAATGAGAATGCAGCCCGTTGATTGCTATGTGCACTCGTTACTATTTGCAAAGGCTTAACCGAAGTGACTTTATTGCCATTGCTTTCTAGTATACGTGCTTAAGCATTGCTCCTATCGTTTTTTACCAATGATTTTCGTTTACAAATTAAATATGCCAGCCACTTAACATAAGGTTATGGAACCCTTCTCAATCATTGTCATTTTTGTTTGGTCACCATGGCTTTTGGATCATTCTAACTACAACGCCGGTTTCGTTATAAAGCTCGAATTAAGGGACTGATATTTTATCTATGAAGTAGTTCCTCCGACAGGAAATGGACAATGATTTGATGTACACTATTTCGGGTTCTAATGTCGGTGGCGGCTAGTTGAAAAATTCCGATCGTAGAACTCACCGGTTGGACATATTAAAGAATTTTTTAGTGGCAATTTTAAAGTCAACTTTCAGGTAGCTGAAGATCTTAAGCAACCTTTGTTGTGGGTCTGTTGGGACTTTTTAACTCTGCATTTAAGGAATCTCGAAAGAGCGCCTAATATCTGGTCGACTAACACAGGAAGCAGACGAAAATGCCGCTGATGTAATATACGAATACTATGAGTTGGCAGGGAGCATCTGTATTCGATACTTACAGGAAGTGGAACCGAATCTTCCTGAAAGTCTCCAGCCCATTGGTTTACCCAAATCAGTTGATACTGCCATCAAGCAACAAGTTATCTGCTCCTTTCAAAAGAAGTAAGTTTATCTGATTAAAATTTTGAATCAGGGTGTAGAAAGGGGTTTCCAATCACTCCTTTTAATGTTGTTTTAGGTTGTTTAGGGCCGCGTAGCGCATTTTTTAACTAAGCATTCAATTTTATCATGATGTGAACGAAATCGTAAGCTAGGATTCGAGTCAACTTCTTTCTCCGCTTAGATGCATCCGAGTAATTCTAAACTTGGGTTTTTGCGTGCTCCACATCAAGTTGCTGACTTCTTTCGCCCAGCTGTCGTTTGTTGTACGCGTAAGATAACAGCTGAAGTCGTGTTAGTAATTGACTTCCTGTGGTTGCACTGTCTATCAAACATTACACACATCTTTGATATGCATTTATTTACTTCTACCCTCATCTGCCTAGTGATTTGTCTGGTGCCGTGCAGAAATTCCGTTCACTCCTTCGCTACGTTGAGACACCTTCGACAAAACCAATTCGACAGTCTCTGGCTCGTCAGTTGGCTGAACTCCTCCTTCGTGTTGTGTGCACCGGAAAGTATCAGAAATACCTAACTTCTACTGAACGTGACGTGGTACCTTTTTTTCCGTACTATCGATGAGTCTTGACAACCTTTTGTTGACACGCATCAACATATTTTATGCATTCATAGGAAACTTAGTCATGGTTGCATAGTTATCTTTTAGGCTGCAAGGGTCATTTAGGTGGATTTAATGCGGCCCTAATAGCCCCGTGAATTGGATAAATTAGTTGGATATTATTCACATTTTGAATACCATTGGACACAGATGCATTCTAGTTTGGATTATATGTGTGATTTTCTGTAGATCGGCAAACCCCGGCGTTATCCCGTGGATTCATACATTCCGGATGATCAACTTCAAGAGGCTATCCTGATGCTTCTTATCTCTGAATACATTGCAAGTCGTCTAAGTATTTGATTATGATCTACTACATAATTGAGCTATCACAAGGATAGACTTTAATTTTGTGGTCTTGAGTTCCTTAAACACGACTGGCCCATTCGTTATGTTTATTTTTATATTTGTGTTGCTCTGCCTTTCAGCATCTACCTTTAAGCAAGTCGCTCTAGAAAGTGTTACTTTATAGTTTTATTCTCATGTCTGGCATCTGTCATGTATTTTTAATGTACCGTTTATTTACAATCAACATTTTTGCAAAAAAACATCGATTGAAAATTTGGTAACAGTTGAACGCAAAGAAACAAACTGACCGTTAGGCATTTTATTGAATTATCTAGGCCAGCCAAGATGTGATCTTAAATCGGTCTGCCGATCTAGCCGAGGAGAGAATAAAAACGGTGAAAGAAACGGTTGCCATCTACGACCTCCTAGCCATTGCCTTGGTGCGCAGAGGATACTTCTCATTCCTTTCAGATGTAATTTGCTTTACCTCTTTGCTATTCCGTTTACTCTATATTAGTGAAACTTTGGTTGGCATTTTTTTTCAATCCTGACAGATTGATACACATGCACACATTGCCTGTGGTGTCCGTTACCCAAATGCTTACCATTGTGTTGGCATTTTAATGCCTTCACTCAGATAAATTTCCCCACCTTGGTAACTATGGCTGAACTCTGCATTTGGGAATCAGTTAAACTTCATTTTATGCTAAAGGCTGTCTAAATGGGAGTTTTCCATAGTGTTTTCAATATTTCGGAATGTTTGTATTTTATGTGGTCGTGGTAAACATCAGATGGGGGTGTGTCGGGTTGTCCAGGCGCTGTTGCTTCGTTGTCGGTTTGCAAAAAAATCTTATTTTACTAGCCGCCGGGTCCCGATTGGTGGTGTGCTTTCTCCGCTGACATGTCATTTCCTTGTAGACATTGGAACACGCCCTGAAGTTTTCATATGAAGAATTTCAAATCTGGTACCAGTTCGCCCTTTCACTAATAGCTTCTCAGAAGGTAAGCCTCACAAGGCATTCTGTTGGGGTTTACTTTGGCTTGCCTGGCAAGCGCCTTTGCGGGGCTATCAACTTATGTTATTGTCAGTTGATTGCTTTTAATGTTGACTCGTAACTTCGTAGGTAGGTTAGACAGCTTAACTGGCAAGGCTACCGCCTTAAATTAGTGGTATTGTTGTTGCCAATACTTGCTTGAGTTTGTGCACCTTCACGCCTTCTTAATTCGTGCTGCTTGTAGTATGCTCGTCACTTTACGGCAGCATTCTGATTTCTTCCGTCGGTGATTTGCAATTTTTCAATTTATTGTCTATTGTAGTATTACCGAGCCTACCTGATTCTTCGTGAATGCCAACGCATTGATCCCGAAAAGCCCTCCATTTACTTGCTCGCAAGCTCCCTTTGTTTGGGCCACCTGCACTTGATAGAGGAGGGCATTCTCTTTGCTGCGAGCGGTGTCAAAGTAAATTGCTTTCTAACAAATTTACACTGTCTCAGTGCTCGAATGTATCGTTTAAGACTTCACACGCAATGAACTGTGAATCTGATGCTAGGATTTTAATTTTTGCCTGAGCCTAAACTATGCATCCTACCCGTATTTAAAATTTCCCAAAGGTCTCAAACAAAGCCGGTGACACCTATTTATGTGCAAGGTGTCATCTGATGCTTGGTTGGGGTTACTCTCTCTCAGCGAGAGAATATCGCATGTTGCCGCGTAAAACCGAACTCCAACGTCTTGCGATCGAGGAATACACAGCGTGAGCTCCTCTACATTACATTTCAACTGTTGAGTGACACTGTATTGCACGGCAATTTTGCATTTTAGCGCAACAAAGTCGGATCCAGACGACTATCTCACCTGGTACCACCTTGGAGTAGAACTGGCTGTCAAGAGGGACATTGAGGCGGCCATGAAGGCCTGTCAGCAGTCCATCCTGTTGGCTCCTACTCAACCCGAGACAATTCGTCTCCTTGCACTCCTTCACACCGCCTCGGCCTCTTTGACGTCGACCACACCATCTGGCGGAGGACGACAAATGTATTTGCATCAAGCGGTAAAAACGCTCCACAGTGGGCTGACCGACAGACCCCACGACTTCGCTCTTTTATTCACACTGGCTAAAGTTGAAGCGGAACTGCATGGACCGGAGGCAGGCCTCAAAATTTACATGCATCTCATTGACACGTGGTGTGATTGCTTCCCTCAATTTCAAGGTCAACGGCATGACAGCGGGTACGTGTTCACCTCCCCCTAATCTTAAATTTGAATTCACCCGATTCTAATGCGTGTAAGGCGATCAAGTAAATTATTAAACCAGTATTTGGGTACGTTTAGTAATCTGTGGTAATGGTTTGCGAATCTTTGAGCGTTTCTAAACCAGAAACCCATCTTATCAGGTCTCGAATTACGTTTTTCTACCTTTCCTGTTGCTGCCTAAAGTTATTAAGTTTTTTGGACTAATAAACGCCTCTGTGCTGTGCAGCCAGAATCTGTTACCGTTGCTGGCATCAGGTGCGTTGTTTCCGTTCTGCCACTTGCAATCCTATGCACCCTGATCTTACCATCGCACCTTAGCTTCGCCTGCCTGGAGAGATTGCGGAGTACAGCAACAGTTCCAAGCGAAAGCTCGGAGGTAGAATTTAACCTTGCGAACGATGGCTCCACAGACTGCGACCGTATCGCACTGCTCCCACCAAATCGGTTGGAGGCTATTCTCGCTGAGCTGGCTGCCGGAGGTGGCAGCAACATCGCGCAAAACGGTTCTCCAACGCAGCCTCCAACCACCACGTCTTTTTCGGGTGCAGTTGGTGTTGCCGTCAATCCTCTGAGCCTGCTCGCTAAAATCCTCGGTTGCATGGGTAGGTTTCGGAGGTGTTCTTGCACCCCAAATTCTTTGTTTTCCATTCTCAGCGACGCCCCCGTGAATAAAATGTGGCAAGTAGGTGTCTGTGAACGTATTTGCCAGAGGAACTATCTCCATAAAGCTATGCCCTTTTACTCAATGGATAGACACACCTCTCGCTATTCGTCATTAAGGAGCCACTTAACGCTATAAACACACTCTCCAATTTCTTGTATGCACTGCATGTGAAATTAGGCTGACATCAAACAACGTTTCAAATGTATAGTATTGGATTAGGTAATTTGATAATAAAACTTGTTTAATACACAAGCCTTAGTACTCCCGTGCCGTTTGAAAGAACTCTCCTCGAAATGAGGTCAGTACCATTTAAGAAATCTAGCCGATACAAAAATAGGCATTTCACACAACAATGTCTCATTCTTAAACCTGCAATCCTGGCTTAATTTGTAATGAATACTTACCATTTCTTGTCAATTCGTGACGGGGCCTTGCTTGCTCCATGCAGACATCGCAGGTGTTATTTACGGATACTAATCATTTGGATCTAGCATTTTGAAAGTTTTGGCCACTCAGCAAGTGGAAAACACAATATTACTCTTTTTCACCTCCAACTGGCTAAAAGAATTTAGCAAACTTTACAAGAACATAGCACTGCAAGGATAAAAACGGTTCCAGGCATTGAGACGCCGTAATTTTCGCACTAAAGCCGCATTTCGCTCAGAGAAGTCTGTTACTCGTAACATGGGTAACATTGTGGCATTATGGCAGGGCAACGTTCACAAAACCCAATAGCTGGGTTACACACTAACCGGGCAACAAAAGTTGAGTTTTCTTGCAAACACTTGTTTAAGCGCAGTATGAACCAGCTTTTCCTCATGCTGCGGTCATCCACCTGGAGGGCTCAGTAGGGTATCAGGACCTGATGCAACAGGACCGTGACATCGGTCCCACTTACTGCTGCTGACAGCTTGTCAAACGCACAAGTAAGCAACGAGCACCAACGAGAATACGAACTTTGC